GTAATGAACGTAAGACATGTGAAAGGTTGATGACATGTAAAACAATTATGCAATTTTTTTTTTTTTTAATGATGTATGGAATAGAAAGTGAAAATGCCAAAGTGCATGGTGTCATGTAGTATTGAGTAGAAAGTGAATGGCAAAGTGCGTGAATGAACGTGATGGATGTCATGATACTTGACATGGTTGACTCAATGAATACCTGCAAGTGTAGAAAGTAAGGTAAGATGTAAAATGCCCCCTTGTGTACCTAGACACAGGGAATCCTAACTTCACTGGTGGCTTTCTAGGTTGACAAGTCATATGGGTGGCTTCTCTTTAAGTTCACTGCATGCTTTCCTAAAGGGCATTAGGCCTTCTCAACCATTTATCTTTTCAAAATCAATGGGAGATATTTCCAAAAGCTAATACACAGGACGATATTACATCATCAGGTGTCGTATTAACCAATGGAAACAACCTAACGAGAATCAATCTTACTCCTCAAAGCGGGAAGAATTGCTCTTCCAAGCCAGATTCATAAGGATTCCAAACTAGAGGTCGGGTTCACCTCCGACACGGACCTAATGCAAAATGAGAGTGAGTGTGTGCAAGGGGCATGACAATCCGATAACTTGCATAATGACAACCACAAAAATGGCAACATATATCCCACAGAATCAAATAAAGCATGTAAAACACTCAATAGATGTAGCATCCACAAACACACCTATTTACACAACAGGAAGGAACTCACCTCGTACTCCCATGCCAAATGCAAAAGGTTAGCACATTCACATACAAGCAAGGAAGCATGTAAGCATGATGCATAATGAATAAGCATGTAACATCAGTGATGCATGAGCATGTGAGATGATATGATGCACGAACATGTGAGCAAGATATGATGCATGCCAAGATGTAGCCAAATAACTACTCAAAAGCAAAATAGTAAAGCAACCATCAAAACAACAAGCAAACAAGAAACACATGCAATGAGTAACAAAGACCCACAAAGACTCAACAAACAAAAGAAAAATCAAAAGCTGAAAAATTCCCCAAAGTTAAAGTATTAGCTCGACCCTCGTGAATCCAGAACATGAAAACCAAAGATTCTAGATTCAGTCCCCAGTGGAGTCACCAATCTGTTGACGACCACTTAAGATTTTTTCAAAATAAATTGAAAAATCAAGTGTGAAATATATAAGAAAAAGGGAGTCGTCACTCATCCAAATTATAAGGTGGGACAAGTCACCTAAAACAGGTCTGCGTAAAAATCGAAGTTCGGGGGTTCGGTTAGGAGTGAGGAAGGGCATACGCGCACCTCACAATTCTCCGTTTAAACACGGTTGCATACTTTAACAGTGGGGGTTTTGATTCAACTTAATCATCATGTTTATGTTTAAGTCTTAATAGGTAAGCCTGAAAAAGGGATAGACCAAATTGAAACATTTTTTAAATTTTTGGGTAAAAATGGACAAAATCAAAGACAAGCATGCACAATAAACACACATGAAAATTAAATGGATTGACTTGACTAAATTCAAAACATAAAGGACTAATTTGAAAAGA